ACGCGTTCTTCCTGGGTGGGGCAGGGGCAATATAACAATTTTGGGATGTGTTCAAAGGCTATGCCAGCGACCCCAATAACCCGCTGAAGTGGTGGAAAGTCGGTGTTTTGAGCCTTTTCCCTGACTTTCTCGAGCGCGCACCACCTCTGTCACAATTCTGAGTCACAAACTTCACGGCTTGTTGAAACCTGAAACACTCACACAGGTGATGTTCGGCAAAATGTGGATAATGGATAGGTTGTTGAAGGAGGCAGTGGGCACCATTGGACTGTGGTAGAGGCTAGCTACTGTGTGTTTTGCCCGCCCAAAAAATTCTGTTTGAAACGGTTTGAAACAGTTTCAAATGGTTTTATTACCGTTTCCGTTTTAGTTTGCCCGGTCCTTCAACCTAAAATCAAATGGTTGGAGCCTTACTGAAAATGCTACCGAAAAAACCAAAAAAAAACCAAAAGAAGGAAAGAAAGAGAGAGAGAGAGAGAATGTTAATAGGATTTGGGGTCGTTGTTTGATTTAATTTGTTTTGGGAACCAGGTTCAACGCCGCACAGGCGGGAAACACCGCCCGAATGGAGGCTCGCTTGAAAGTAAGGTACGTAATGCCTCCCCACGTTTTCCGCGTTGGGATTAGACTCGGGTCCACGGTCCGGACTTTGGTATGCGTATGCGGGGCTCGGCCGCGGAGGTAGAAAAAATGCACGCAGCCTTGACCGGAGTTTTCTCGTGTCCAAATTCCTGGGGTGCAGACAGTTGTTGCAGGGAGAAGAATGAGAATGAGAGCGACAAGGTGAATCGAACGAAACCAGTGTTTTCCTTAAGGCCTAAGCCTTAACTTGAGTTAACCCTTAATAAGGCCTTGATACTGAGGCTTAACAATGGCGGAGAATCTTCTGAAGGCTTAACAAAGGCTTAATGATGGCATCATGAAATCAAGATGTGAAAAATTTGCCGACAAGCAAGACCACCGAGAGATCCGCGACACCTTTGACTTATGCCACCCCAAGAAATCTGAGCTCTGGGCCTTTTTTCACTGAGGGGCGGTGACATTCCGCAGCCTCCGGGATGCGCGCCGCATCAAGCTTTTACTCGGCAGCAGCGGAGCATTCGGAGGAGGAGCCTAATGATGGTGAACTGGAGGGCTCTGGCAATGATTACTCAGTACTCAGAAGAGACACTTGCTCCTGTTGGTTAAATAGTATTAAAATGCCGGCGAAAAAAAAATCTTAAGGCCTTAATAAGAGGCCCTTAATTAAGGGTTATCAAGGCCTAAGGCCTTAACGAAATTTTTTGCCCTTAATAAGCCCTTATGGGAGAACACTGAACGAAACGAATGAAAGATGACTCCGTGGGAAGTTCTGAATGATCGGTGGCTATACGGTGACTTGATGGAGTGATCGGTCTTCGCTTCGGTCGTTTTTCGTTCCTTGCAGCGACCAGGGAAAGATTTGGAGAAGACTTGGGGAAGAATTGAAGGGAAGGGAAGCGCAATTGAAGCAGGCCTCACGTCCATCTCTTCCGTCTCTTCTTGGAATAGAATAGGGGGTTTCACACAAGGCTATTTGAGCCTAACTTGGGCCCAACTCGATGTCCAACTCGATGCCAACTTGATCAAGTTGAGACCGAAGTTGACGTCAAGTTGGGTAGGTAAGTGTGAACGCCCCTCCCAAGCACACCCCTTTCGAAGCCCAACTTTGTTTAGTTCTGTACGCGTCATCACCAAACTAAGCCAGACTGAGCCCGTGTTTGTTCATCATCAATGCCATCAAGTCCGAATTGCGGCATGGCGATTTCTTCACGGGCTCTGAGAACTCTTCATGCACTTCAGTGGCGGCTCTTTTGCGCGATGTTTTGCCGGCAGGGGGACCATCTGCCGGTGCCTTCGGGCGTGTGGTTTGGCCTTTTTCGCTGGTGCTGCTTTCTTCTGTGGTGCTTTTGTGACATTGTCGGAGGTGGCTTGGGCTTGGATGCCATGCTCGCGAGAGGCACTCCACTAATAGCTAAATTTCCGGCTACCGGAAGTTAGTTCTGACCGCCTGACGGTCCGAACAAGTTTCCGTTGACCCAAGATCAGACGGGAAATCTGCCGAATACATTGTTCCGAAATGAGATGAGAGATGGGGAATTTCGGAGCGCGTTCCGAGTTCCTTAATACGGCACGTACCGGCTCCCGTTTCCACACCATGGAAATGGGTCGGGGAACACAGCGTATCAGCGGTGCGGAAACGGCCGCTGATACGTCTGATTTTGGGGGCGTGGATACGCCATCCGAGATTCGGAATTTCGGCTTGAGTTTCGGCATCACGGGCACGAGTTGTTTCGGCTCAGATTTCCACTCGCCGGAAACTCAAGCAAAAACAATTTGTTCCCGTAAATTTCCACAAAGTGGAAACACATCGGATAAATTTCCGCAAACGTTCCCATAGATTTCAGCTTGGCGGAAATTTATCTGATGCATTTCCGCTCTGTGAAAATTTATGGGAACAAATTGTTTCTGCTTGGGTTTCCGGCGAGTGGAAATCTGAGCCGAAACGACTCGTTTCCGTGATGCCCAAACTCAAGGCGACACTCCGAATTTCGGCTGGCGTATCCACGCCCCAGAAATCAGAGGTATCAGCGGCCGTTTCCGCACCGCGGATACGCTGTGTTCCCCGACCCATTTCCATGGTGCGGAAACGGGAGCCGGTACGTGCCGTATTAGGGAACTCGGAACGCACTCCGAAATTCCCCATTTCCTGTTTGATCCCGGGGCAACGTATTCGGCAACTTTCCAATCTGATTTCGGGTCAACGGAAATTTGCCCGGACTGTCAGGCGGTCCGAACCAACTTCCGGTAGCCGGAAATTTGTTTATTAGCGGAGTGAGGTGAAAATAATATTGGATCAAATCACATCTATTATTATCACAGCACGGACCAGGACGGGAAACATCCCGGCACAAAGCGAAGTTGCAACTTTCAAGTTGCGATCTCGAAGTTGGACGTGGAATCGAGGGCTTGAGCACTATTCCACATCCAACTTCGAAATCGGCCCAATTTAGATCTCAACTTCGAGCGAAGTTGAGTATCGAGTTCAGGGGTATCTGGGGTTTTAATACATCGCGACGTTCTAATGAGAACGAGACCCGCGATGTATCATTGGTTCTAATGAGAAGGTCGGCGATACATCACCTTAGAACGCTTTCCTTTTCAAGTGGCAGGGGCGCGTGGGCGCTCATTGATTGTACGGCGGCGTTGTCCCGAGGTTTCGTGGTCGGGGCGCGAAGGGCGCGAGCGGGGTGGCTGTACCTACCGTTTTCGGTATTTTTCACCTGGTTAGCTAGCGGGTTCCCGATTGTCAGTATACATACTAAATATGTTAAACAATACCCACCCACCTTTCTACACCCTCGGCCTGAGCGTGGCACTCGTTATGAGCGTCGCAAGTTGTACCGAATTGGGCGAAATGAGCGTGGGTCATCTTTGTTTGTAGTTGTTAGCATCTCCTTCCCTCTCACTTCCACCACCATTCCGCTGTTCCACCTTCTCATTGGGCACCATTACTTAGAAGAACATACCCCGGCCTCAAGTGCGACCACTCACTGCGTTAACCAAGCCCTCAATGCCCTTGCAGCCTCGCACTCTGTAGCACCACCCCCTGGCTCCATTGCTTCCCCCTTCCAGCCACCGGCTCCTTATCCCTTAGCCTCTTTGTCAAATAATTCTTCCGCCTATCCAACACACCCACCTCAAATATCTAGGCTCCTACTGGCCTCGCGCGTGCGCACGGCCGTTTTAGCGCCTGGCGCGCTCCCTCGCTCGCACCCGCCCTCCTGCGCGTGGATCCACCCCGGCCGCGAGACACTACCCTTAGGTTACGTTGCCCCGATACGCACCTCAAGTCTTTAGGCTCCTATTGGCGCTGCGCGTGCGCCACGGCCGTTTTAGCGCCCGGTGCGCTCCCCCGCTCGCACCCGCCCTCCTGCGCCTGGCTCCACCCTAGCGACGCCCATGATACCTCAAGGTACCTTGCCCCCGCACGGACCTCAAGTTTCTAGCCTTGCGCTGCCCTTGCGCGTGCGCCACGGCCGTTTGAGCGCCCCGCGCCCCCCGCCACTTGCACCTGCCCTTATGCGCCCGAATTTACCTCAGCGACGCCCTCCCCACCTCAAAGTACCTTGCCCCCACACGGATCTCGAATATCTAGGCTCCTACTGGCCTCGCGCGTGCGCACGGCCGTTTTAGCGCCCGCCCCGCCTGCGCTGCTCGCACCCGCCCTCCTGCGCCTGGATCCACCCCAGCGGCGAGACACTGCCCTTAATGTACGTTGCCCCCACACGCACCTCGAGTTTCTAGGCCTGCGCTGCCCTTGCGCGTGCGCCGCGGCCGTTTCAGCGCCCGGTGCGCTCCCCCGCTGGCACCCGCCCTTCCGCGCCCGAATCCACCCCAGCGATGCTTCCCCCACCTTGGGGTACGTTGCCCCCACACGCACTTCGAGTTTATAGGCCCGCGCTGCCCTTGCGCGTGCGCCACGGCCGTTTCAGCGCCCGGCGCGCTCCGCCGCTGGCACCCGCCCTTCCGCGCCCGAATCCACCCCAGCGACGCTTCCCCCACCTCGGGGTACGTTGCCCCCCACACGTACCTCAAGTCTCTAGGCCGGCACTGCCCTTGCGCGTGCGTCACGACCGGTTTAGCGCCCGGCGCGCTCCCCTGCTCGCACCCGCCCTTCCGCGCCTGAATTCACCTCAGGGACGCTTCCCCCACCTCGGGGTACCTCGCCCCCATGCGCGCCTCGAGTTTCTAGGCCCGCGCTGCCCTTGCGCGTGCGCCACGGCCTTTTACTTACCACTTCTTCTTTGTTTTATTTTTCCTTCTTTTTATTCGCACCGTCCTACTTTAGTTACCTTCTGTAACTGGAATAAAAGGATTTCGGCACATACAATGCTTCCTCAAGTAAGATCTAGTCCTTTGAGGCAAAGAAAAGTAAAGATGGTCGTACCTGGAGTCAAAATAGAGACGCGTCCCGACTAAGTCGACAGCGGGACTCGAACCCGCGACTCCTGCCAACAGAGTGGCTGTTCTGCAAGCGCGTTAACCACTACGCCATGCGCGCGACAGCAAGGTGGGGTACGAGCGTGATCCTGGCGCAGCAGCAGCCGCCGCCGCCCCGTCGCCCGGAAGCGCGACACTCGCTTAGTCATGCGCAGAATAATCGCATGACTAAGGACAAGGCGGGGTTGCAGTTCCCTGTCCTTTTCTTAATCTCCCAGATTCGTAAAAAAAAATATCATTCAAGTCCACTGCCGGTCAAACACAAACCAGAAAACCTCAGCTATCTACGCGTGAAATAAAATACCTAATTGGCCCTGCGTTTCTTCCTGCAAACCCCGTCAAATTCAGACAGTCATTAGAAAAAGATGAAAGAAAAAGACCTTGGTGCATCGGCAGCGCTGTCGTTCTCATTAACCTTTCTCTTCTTGCCCTCCTTTGTCGACTCCTTATGCTTCTTCGTCAAATCCTCAAGTAACTTCGCGTCGTCGTTGGCGTTCCTTGGCGCGCGCTTGTTCCTTCCGGGACGGCCAGTCTCGGGGATCGGAGGCATGGGCCCACCGGGCGGGCGCGGCAGGCAGTAAACCCCAGGCTGCGGCCCCTTACGCTTAGCCTTCTTGTCTTGCTGTCTCTCGAACTCCCGAATCTCCTTCATCCTCTCATTCGATATACCGGGCGCCGGTGCGTCGAGCGGCAGAGGAATTACCTCCCCGTTGTCGCCGTAGGTCTGACGGAACCTGAACAAAGGGGCGCTCGGCCCTTTGCTCCCACCTTCACCCTTATCTCCCTCACCACCCGGTCCCGCGTTTCTGTCCCCACCACCACTCCCTCCTCCACGTCCGCGCCCCCGGCCTCCGCGTCCACGACCACCGCCGCTGCCTGCGCCCCCGCTGTCACCCTCGCTCTCCACCTGACGCTCGGGGTCGTCACCTCCACGACCACCTCCGCTACCTCCGTCCCCACTATCACCCGCGCTCTCGAGTCGACGCTCGGGCTCGTCACGACCACCGCTGCTGCCTGCGCCCCCGCTTATCACCCGTGCTCTTGGCCTGACCTTCTGCCTCGTCACCTCCCCGACGGTCTCTGCTGCCTCCTTGTCCACGACCACCCCCACGACCACCCCCACGAGCACCCCCACGCGCACCCCCACGCGCACCCCCACGAGCACGCCCACTCCCCGTGTTTGCAGCCTTGTACTTCGGAGGGTTGGCCATTGGGCGCGAAAACGGGTAGGCGGCGTCCTCGTCGTTGTCCACCACCTCCTCCTCAACGTGACGGCGCGCCTTGCCCTTGCCCATACCCGTTGCTAAGGGTACCTCCGCGTCCTCCGCGTCCTCTGACTCGTCGCCATCGTCGCCATCGTCGGTGTCGCTGCCTGGCAGTGTCGCCATTGCGCGACTTAGTGCCGCGCTGGATGTCGCGATTGCCGACGTGGTTCTCGATAATCTGGGCGGCAGAGGGGACCCTCGCGCCGTCATTGCCGTGCTGGATCTTCCCGACGGATACTTCGTGGAGGGTGCTGTTGGGGGCGAGTGTGTTGAGGGCGAGGGTGCTGTCAGCGTGGAGGGTACCGTCGATGTTATCGTCCGGGGAGTCGCCGCGGTAGCTTTCGCCGAGGGTGGGGTCAGCGTCGTCGGGGGCGTCGACTCTGTTGGTCCGTCGGTTGGTGCGTTGCGCCACGACGACCGCACATAATCTGCATGTGTTAGCATCGTACTTTTGTTGCAGCTGTGGTGAAACTAGACGTACCTTGTAACCATCTTGTAGCCTGAGGCGCACCGCTCTCTTCCCTTCCCGCCTCTGACACTAAATAAGGTTCGCATTAGCGGCTTATACTATAAAATTTTGCTGTAAAAGCGTACTGGCAGGGTCGAATTCATTGGTCTCCGGTAAGGTTGGTGCATCCCAGTCGAAAGCCGACGAGCCCCAGACATCCGCCGGTAAATCGGATGGGTTTTCTTGTACGAAATCGTTAAGCATAGCGAGCTCTTCCTCCGTCAGTGCAAAGTCGTTGATAGGCACGGCTGAGGGCGGCAGCGGCGCCGGGATGGCTAGGGTGGCCTCTAGCGCTGAGGTTGACGGCTGGACTTGCGACAAGGTCGAAGTCGCTGGGAAGGTTATTGGTGTCGGGGCTGGCGGCGCGGTTTTCTTGGGTTTCGCCTTCGGTTTTGTCGGTGCCTTGGGCTTGGAAGGAAGCGTTGGTGCCTCCTCTCCTTCCACCTCATCGTCAGATAATTGTAGTAGGTCGTCTAGATTGTCGAGGGGGTCTGGCAGAGCCATTGCGTCGCGGGCGCTACGAGCTAACACAAAGAATCAGACCAGAAGTCGCGTCAAAAACGAGTCACTCACGAAAACATCTTCTCAGGAATTCTGTGAATTTGGTGCTCACGGCGGCCTTCCAGTTAGGATGGGCTTGCTTGAAGGTGTGGCCGGCAGGGGTAAAGCCAGAAGAGAAGCTGTGATTATCATCCATCAGGCGGCGCTAACGCGTACGGCGCCTAAGAGCAACTTACACCTGCATACTCAAGGCACCCCCCGCGTTCGGTGTTGGCCCTCCCACCATCGTGAACCCCACCCATCCTGTCTTCTCCCTCAAAACCTTATGGAAGTTGTCGACGATGCCCTCTAACTGGTCCAAGGATCTGGATTAAATTAATCAGCAAACTTCAAGTCCTAGAACGCGTTCTCCGACCTCTGGGCTATCTCTGGCGTCAACTCCGAGCTTGGCTCCGACAGACTGAGCGTCTTCAGTCGGGTTAATTCTTCATCTAGTGCCTCCAAAACGTCCGGATCCTCTGCCTCCAAAAGTTCTCGGGTCACCCTCCGCCTCATCTTCATGCGCGCCGACGATTGCGCTCTCAGCGTCGTCTTCAACTCTCCGTTGGGTGTCTCGCCGTCCTCCGCTACCCATTCAATGTCTTCCCCGTGTAACTCATAAAACCCCTCCGCCTTCAAAGCCGCGCGAACACGGTCTTTGTAGAACTTCTGGTAAAGCTCGACCAGCTGGGGCCCGCGGTGACGCGTTTTTTCCTTCCACATGGCGGCAGCCATGGAGTCGATGTCGGTCTTCTTCACTGGGACCGCGCCAGAGTCGCGCTGTGTTTTCGTGTGATTACGAAACCAGCTTCGAAGTTGCTGAAGAGACCGTCAGCTCGAGGCTCTTTTCACGGCAACCTGGCGTCACGCGACGCGCTTTTGGCGCGGGTGGGCGCCGAATTGGCGCGGGCCTCACGCCCATATGCATTCAACGCGTCACAATCGCTGCGGCGCCACGAAACATCGAGCACAAGTAGGAGCTTACCTTTTTGCGCGATGACAACGCGGCGCTCAGCCTTTTTTGCTCTTCCGAGGTCAACGCCACGCCGCTCTCCGCAGCCGGGAGCCCATTCGCCTCCTCTTCAGGCCATTTTTTAAACCAGCCTTCGTCCAAGCTCACGAAGAAATCGGTTTGGTCGCCCGTGCTTTTCGCGTCAAGATATTTGGGAAGTCGCGCCTCCAACCAGGTTTGCTGTTCCTCGACTGTCCATCGTTTGGGCGCCATAGCGAAATGCGATTGAGGTGGCAGGCAAGCAAGGGCTAACGAAGTAACGAGGGGCGGTGTTTCACAAAATATTTGTGACCCAACTAAATCTTTTGATCCCACTTGCTTTAGGCTTGACCAATCGGGCGAACCCCCGGGAAGGCTAGCCACGAGCATTTCGTGCACATGGCCGCCATCAATACGGTCCTTGCCTTCGTTGCCAAGACCGCTTCCCGCCCTCGGTGAGCCCATTTCTCGCCTTCAATAAATAGCTGATGTTCTTCCTCAAAGCTCAACTCAAAAAGTATCTTCGAGACCACGTAGCGTACTTATGCCCTCATGCCCTCGTGGTCTCAATATACTGCCCTCTTGCCCTTTCTACTTTGCCCATTACCCAACGCAAACTGAGGTAAAAACGAATATCTATTCAAGAAATACCCATCGGCCAGCGGGAGTGAAAGGCGCTATGCGATTCAAGAGGTTCTCCGAGTTCATCGTACGTTGTGCAGTTGTACGTATGTAGGCGCCAGCGTCGCACCGCGACATAAGTATCAAGCGAGAGCAACTGGCCCAGGAAGAGGTGGTGGTCGTCTCGCGCCCAAAATGTGCGATAATAATCGCGGGAGGACGCATTAGCCCAAGCTCGCCGCCGGAGAGGGTGGTCTTCGTTCAGCCTTGCGACAGCATCCATTGCTTCGCGAACTGCTGCTCCAGCGTCCACCGCCCCGGCGTCCGCACCATTGCTGGCAGCAGGTTGGAGGCTCGCAGGTGCAGAAGATGTACTGTAAAAGATTTTAAGATGTTTAAATATGAGAGGCAATGTAGCACGCACCTGGATGAAGTTAATTGCATTGCCCTTTCCAGAACGGAATCAGACGGCGGTCGGGGCCATTCTTCAGCGATATTTTGAGGTTGGCTGAGAGTCACCAGGGCGTCGACGGCGATCCGTTCTCGAGCCTTCGCCGAGTAAATTGTATTACAATCGGCGAGCGGCTCTGTGCGCATTTCCGACCGTGGGGGCAGTTCTGGGTTCGCCCACGAGGGCGTCGATAGTCGCTGCCGAATAGGCTTATCCCACCGACGTTTGAGGGCTTTTTTTGCCTCTCTAGATAAAGAATCAGCACCTCGTGTGATCCCCCGGAAAAGATACCACCTACCGGCTCGCTGCCATCCTCGCCCGATGTTTCTCACGCGCCAGGGGATTTCTGTCCCTCGGTGCATTAATAAAATCAAAAGGAGGGACACTGTTCTCCTGCGTACCACTCAATATAAGACTTTTGAGCCTTTCGGTGGTTTCGTGCCTTTTCCTCCTTACTGAGGCTAATGTCAAGGTCAGTGAGAGTAATGTGAGCATAGAATAGCCCAACGGACCTTGGGCGATAATTATCTGAGTCGTTGGGACGAAGCTTTCGAGATTTTTTCGTCATTGGGGGTTTGTGGTGGTGGAAGCCGGAAGAGAGTAAGTGTGATGTTCTGTGTTTGTCGTTGGCGCAGACACACCTTTCGGCTTCCTCTCCTTCCACAATCTCTTTTCCCGTGAAACT